GTCCACGTGAAAAAATCCCAGCCCCTACCGAGGATGGAACCGGGAACCTCTAGCACTCGAGGCGGTCACCATGCCTCAAGACCACACAGCCCCATTGTGAGTTTGGAGAAAACTAATAAGCTCAATACGGACCCAGAAGGATTTAGGGCAGAGGGACAAATACGGTTCATTTAGTAATAAGCAGACAAGAAGAAACCATATCAAAGTATATCCAAAAAAAACAAAAAAAAAACGACCTAATTAAAACATTTAGGGTTATTTTTCACCTCAGGTGGAAGAATGGATAGAGGACTCAACATACAATGTGTGGAAGCAAATCAGGTTATGGGACAGTTAACACCGCTTCTGACCCATAAAAAGATACCCCTGTCAACCAAAGCAAATCTCATAAGAGTCGGAATTTTTGGCCAACATTGTGCTACCAATTCCAAGCATGGGCCCTTACTACAACTAATGAGCGGAAGAGCGTTACAATAGAGATGAGATGTCTTAGGATAGCTACCGGTGTGACAAGAAGTGATATAAAATCAAGAATGAAGAAATTTAAATAAGACTAGATAGAGAGGGACCAGTCGTACAATTCATTAAAGAACAACAAATGAGATGGTTTGGCCATCTGACAAGAATGCCTTGGTACCAACTGCCACAGAGAGCCACGCTGAAGAAATATAATGAACATAGAGAGAGCAAGGGAAGACCACGCAAGAGATAGAGCGACGTCTTCAGGACCAAGCTAAAAGAAATTAACACTAACTTTTACAATGCATTAAAAAAGCGCACAAACGATTCTTACAATTCCCCCCCAACACCTCGATGAAGTAAATGGTGGAAGAGAACAAAAAAAAAAAAAAAAAAAAGGAAGAAGATGAAGATACGGTTCATTATAGCCTGCATGTGCCTTTCAGCTGCCCTTTTTGTAGATGCCCCGTAAGTCGCTGCACCTCTTCGGACTGCTGTTCGCCATACAGCCAGGTTGTGTGTAGCAGCCTCCGAGGTGCCCGAACTTTCACTAAAGACTTTAATTTAAGTGGTGCCTTTAGTTTAAAAGTTTTTTTCTCTCTAGCCATCATGAGAGCGGTTATCTGTCTGTATCTCACTATAATCGGTATATAAAACACCCTTGTTAAAACATCAGCGCCTATAACACCCTTCTTATTCAACAGCGTCTATAACACCCTTTTTATACATATGCGTCTACAACGCCCTTGTTACAACATCAGCGTCTAAAACACCTTCGTTATTCGTCAGCGCCTAAAACACCCTTGTTATACATCAGCGTCTAAAACACTATTGTTATACATCGGCGTCTAAAACACCCTTGTTATACATCAGCGTCTAAAACACCTTTGTTATACATCAGCGTTTAAAACACCCTTGTTATACATCAGCGTCTAAAACACCCTTGTTATGCATCAGCGTCTAAAACACCATTGTTATACATCGGCGTCTAAAACACCCTTGTTATACATCAGCGCCTAAAACACCCTTGTTATACATCAGCGTCTAAACCACCTTCGTTATTCATCTGCGTCTAAAACACCCTTGTTATACATTAGCGTCTAAAACACCTTCGTTTTCATTTGCGTCTAAAACACCCTTGTTATACACCAGTGACTGAAACGACCTCCTCAAACATCAATGTCTAAAACATCCTAGTTATATATCAGCGCCTAGAACACCCTTGTATTACATCAGTGTCTAAAACAGCCTTGATAAACAGACTTGGAAAATTAAAACTGGTATCCTGCGCGCAGAGTTGCTTGCATCAGTTGACAAGACTCACGTCAAGAGCACACCGTATATTTTGTGTCCTGGATATTCAGGTGTGTTAGTTAACAAGCAGAGTGAGGGACCGGCTGCTGTCGCTTCTCTGGGGGGTGAGCTACTAAACGATAAAGCGGATGTGGTGAAGAGGCTCTATGGGATCAAATGGACAGTGCGAAAGAACAGATATTGAATCCAGACACTGAAAGCTTAATTTAACTGGGGGAAAGGGGGGGGGGTGGGGGTGGGGGGGGGGGGGGGGGGTAGAGGCTCTAAAAGATATTCAACATCGAGGGAGAAACAGAGATGGACTTTTAATCAGGGTGTAACTTGTACTATTGGCAGGTCGGCGCTTTGAAGGCTACTGAAGAAGGGGGCGGGGCACATGTGGGAATGTCCCCAGTGTAGTGATGTTCTTGATTCATTGATTCATTCATTCAAATTCTTACACGACCCAGCATCTAAAACAGCTTTGAGAGGTATCGGTGTCTAAAACAACGAGGCATGCCATGATGTAAAACTGTCAAGCATATTATCTGTCTTGTGTCCCTCTCTAGCTTTCCCATCGTCACATTGTAGTCCGGCTTTCTCCCAATGGTGACGTGACTCATATGTCATGCATGAGATATACTGCTTGCTGATACTAATTACTCACATATACTCAGAACTGGATCTACTCTTAAACCAACTGAAAAATCCCGCTCCTTAACACCGAAAGCAGAAATTTAACTAGCTGAAACAAATCCTTCTTCCACGCCATTATGTTAAACTTGCCCAGCATCTTATCTGTCAATATCATTGCCTTCTGTCTCTCTCTAGCTTTCCTACCTTCACGATGTAGACCGAGTTTCTCCCATTCGTGACGTTACTTATATGTCACTCATGAAATTTACTGCTTGCTGATACTGATTGCTAACATACCAGTTTCTCAAACATCTCTCATATAACCCATTGTATGAAATTGATTTAAAGTTGCTCAGTGTATGATTACATATAACCAGAGTGTGACTGGTACCATACTTATTGGAAATCTGCGCTGGCTGCTGAAGACGAGGACAGCGAACGCATGGGAATGCCCCGAGTGCTGTGATGTTTCTTGAGTCAACTCAACTCAGTCTATGACTGGGTACATCCTGTATCTACAACAACTTTGACGAACTCCAATGTCTGAAAATGTTGTGACATACATCAATGTCTGAAATATCTGTAATATGATCCAGAAACTTAAATTACGCCCATATTGCTTAGAATCTGAAACGGTCACGATACACCACAGTGTGTGAAACAGCTTTTACAAAGTTCAGTGACTGAAACGGTCATGATACATCACAGTATCTGATAAAAGCCTTGACAAAGTTCAGTGACTGAAACGGTTACGATACATCACAGTTTCTGATAAAAGCCTTGACAAAGTTCAGTGACTTAAACGGTTACGATACACCACAGTGTGTGAAACAGCTTTGACACAGTTCAGTGATTGAAACGGTCACGATACAGCAAAGTGTATGAAACAGCCTTGACAAAGTTCAGTGATTGAAACGGTCACGATACACCACAGTGTCTGAAACAGCCTTGACAAAGTTCAGGGATTGCAACGGTCACGATAGATCACAGTGTCTGAAACAGCTTTGACACAGTTCAGTGATTGAAACGGTCACGATACATCACAGTGTCTGAAACAAACTTGCCCAAGTTCTGTGACTGAAACCAGTCTTGCAACATCCTAGAGTCTGAAACAGTCTTGCCCAAGTTCCGTGACTGAAACCAGTCTTGCAACATCCTAGAGTCTGAAACAGCCTTGTCCAAGTTCCGTGACTGAAACCAGTCTTGCAACATCCCAGAGTCTGAAACCGCCTTGACAAAGTTCAGTGATTGAAACCAGTCTTGCGCTGATCTGTACTGTAAAGGATCCAGGCTTAATCTCTACCAGCAGTCTCAGTAAACACTTTGTTCAATTAAATGCTGAATTAGGAATAGACATCAGATGCTCACAGAAGCGTTCTGTCCCCATCTTCAGCAGCAAAGTTTCTATTCCTATGGTACCAGTAACTGTCTGATTGTACACCCGTCTCGCTTTTCCCTTGAATGTTGAGCGTCGGGCAAATCCCCCTGGTAACTAATCACACCATTTAGTCCCTCTCTATCTTTCCCACCGTCAAGATGTAGTCCGGTCTATCTTTCCCACCGTCAAGATGTAGTCCGGTTTATCTTTCCCACCGTCAAGATGTAGTCCGGTCTATCTTTCCCACCGTCAAGATGTAGTCCGGTCTATCTTTCCCACCGTCAAGATGTAGTCCGGTTTATCTTTCCCACCGTCAAGATGTAGTCCGGTTTATCTTTCCCACCGTCAAGATGTAGTCCGGTCTATCTTTCCCACCGTCAAGATGTAGTCCGGTCTATTTTTCCCACCGTCAAGATGTAGTCCGGTCTATCTTTCCCACCGTCAAGATGTAGTCCGGTCTATCTTTCCCACCGTCAAGATGTAGTCCGGGTTTCTCCAAATCGTGACGTGACTCATGTGTCACGCATGAGATATCCTACTTGCTGATACTGATTGCTCACATGTACTCAGAACTGGATCTACTTTTAAACCAACTGAAAAATCCTACACCTTAATGCCGAAAACAGTTTTTAACCAGCAGAAACAGATTGTTCTTCCACTGCGTGATGTCTATCTCTCCATCTTCTTTTACCCCACCAGGAAATCACACAAGCGATAAACACCCGATGACACAAAGTGCCACCATGTGGATGAGGATCACCCGTGGAGAGGTCCCAGAAACCGCGTTCAGCCATTAGACCATATTTATGGCCGGGCTATATTGCGGCCCCTGGCAATAGCCAGAGTAGGGCTTTAAATAAAGAGAAATTGCATCCCACAAGAGGATAATGAAATACAATTTTTGCGTGATGTCAAACTGTTCAGCATCTTATCTGTCGATATCACAACCTTCTGTCACTCCCTATCTTTCCCACCGTCACGATGTAGTCCGGGTTTCTCCAAATCGTAACGTGACTCATAAGTTACGCATGAGATATACTGCTTGCTGATAACTAATTTATCACATGCACTGAGGACTGCATCTACCTTTAAACCAACTGAAAAATCCTACTCCTCAACTCTTTGAGACCCAGAGGTTTTATCAAGAGAGACTGAAATCGGCGCATAATGCGTTCACTGGGCCTCTAGGTAGGAAACTATGAACGTATGATGCGTTCCTTGGGACTCAAAGAGTTTAATGCCGAAAACAGTTTTTAACCAGCTGAAACAAATCGTCTCTAAATGTACGATTCATAAAGGCATATATCACCGGATTAATGACGCTGTTGATATAAAACATATAAAAGACTATCGTTGTAAACTCCACAGCACGCAATCCCATTAGCCCAAGAGCCCGTTGACGTAAAGCGTTGTTGTACTTGACAGAAAAGGTCCACTTGTTGCAGTTGGCGGCTGAGAGCCGAACGCTGAATGTTGACATGAACAGGAACACCTGGGAAAAGGTGAAAAGACACGTGAGACATCATTGGGCTTTAAAATGTTGGCTATCATTATCATTATCATCATCGTCATTATCACATCATCAACAACGTTACCATTATTAACATCATCACCATCGTTATAATCACCGGCACTACCAGGACAACCATCTTCAACATCATTTCCATCCCCACCGCAATCATCATCATCATTTGCATCATCACCACCACCGCAATCATCATCATCATTTGCATCATCACCACCACCGCAATCATCATCAACGCGACAATTATTATCACAGCTAGGACAGCTACTCTCCCCCCCCCCCCCCCCCACGTCCTCCCATCATCATCATAATCCCCACATCAATACCTTTAACATCTTCTAATCTTCAACATACGGTAAGTGCTGGTTTTTTTTTCACGTGGGCTTGGACTTTTAGTAATTTGCCCTGGTCTCTGTGGGTAAGACCGGGTGCCCGTGTGTATTGTTGCACAAGTTAAAAAAAATCAATGGCAGTCGGAAATCGAAAAAATATGTCTAGAGCCGCTGCCCGTGCAAAATTTGGAGTTTAAAATCTACCCAAGTATTTCAGGATCTTCGCCGGTGCAACAGAGTTCGTGCACTGTGCTTAGATTCGTCAGACTCAGGTTTGAGTTAGAAGAATAACGGAGCATATGTGGGGGACTTCCGTGTGTCATGATGTTGATCCGTTGAGTAAACATTTCTTGAATTTCCGGTGAAGAGATGTACAGTAACATGATTTATGCATTTAATCGAAAAGGAAATTATTTGCTTCATTTTCTGTTGATTGAACTCTGTAGAAATACACTTAACGAGATACAGCGAAATATGCAAGGCAATAAATTGTGTAACAGTTGTCAGTACATGAGAGAGAAGACTCTGGAGGGACATGATAACCAGCGCAACAGAACATGAAATACAAAAAGAAAGAAGTAATCTCCACTAGTTTTTCTTCCCAAAGTGGTCCTGCCACCCGATGATTACCGAAACAATTTCCTTCAATTATTGGTTTCTTTAACTTTACGCTCAACTGGTTTTCTCAAATAATCATTCTAAAGTCTTCCGGATTTGTTCATTCTCTGGGGGAGGGGTCCGATTTATTGAACGCCTTGTTATACTTCTTAACTCTGTCCAATTCGCGAAATGAACACATTTTTGGTTTTCCCGTTAACTGGTCCCTTTTCTTGTCCGATTCACGAACTGGCTAAAGCGTGCGTGAGATATTGGACGTTTCCTGAACCGGGCAGATTTAAGCGCTAGCCGATTCATGTGTTGGAGGTTTTTATTTTTAGAACAAGGAATGAACACGCAAAGAAGCTATTTCTCCGCGTTATGAGTTTCACACATATAGACAGAGATAGACGACTAAGGTAACTAAGGTATGGCGGGGACGCTGAAAAACCTAGAGACTTAAGCACCTCAGGCACCCCCACCAACCCACATTTTAAAACGGTTTTAGACACCACTTCAGTTTGTTTATAATGGAGAGGAGGTGGGGGGGGGGGCGCTGGGCTGTCCGACCCCCACAACCCCTCAGCCTCTCTCCTATGCATCTCCATATACATAATTTCTCTTTATAAGTTTTTGTTTCTGTGTATCTGTTATTTAATTTATATTAAGATATTTATTTATACTTCAGCACATTATTATTATTACTTGTAAGCACTTAAACAAGGCTTTGGTCTTCACCCCCTTCCACCCCCGTACGTAAGCATTTATACAAGGTTTCAACCCCTTAAAGTTCCCCTATACATAATAATAATTATTTTTAAGCACTCAAACTAGGCATAGCCCCTCAACCCCTCCCAGGCCGACTGTCGTTTTATTCCACTGGCAAGACATCAACGTGACTGCTTCGAGATACATCAGATAAGTTATGTTTTACATTCGTGTGGTTTTGTTTGATTTATGTAATGTGCTGATGAAGGCACTGTAGCCGCAACGTTCATATTCCGTTTGTCTTCATCATATTGTGAAGCTCGCTGATATACTTTCGGTTCAGTTTTATATTTTTCAATGATATTTTGAGGAAATATCAAAACAGAGTGAGAAGGGAGGTGGACGGGAAGATGGATAAAAAAAAAATTATTTCTGTTTTATAATGCGTTTGACGACGCAAGCCGCTTGGGGAATAAGAATAATTACTGAGAAAATTCCCCAGTGGCACAATTTAATGAAGCTAAATACACATCGGAAGTGGCAATTACAGAAAGCAGATTTCTTTAGAAATCTTTGACCAAATAGAAAAAGGAAGAGAACATTAAAGACACTCTACGCCCGGGCCTGAAATATGGCCTAACGGCTGAAAGGGGGTTTTCGGGACCTCTCCATGGGTGATCCTCATCAGCATGGTGACACTTTGTGTCACTGGGTGTTTGTCACTCTGTCTATGTCCTGCTGGAGTACAACTTACATATTTATATATATATAATACAAGTGCCCTCACAGTTAGTTTAAATACATCCGCATGTGAGACAAAATTGTTCGTTATTTTGAAGCCCTAACCTGGCTATTGCCGGGAGCCCTAATATAACCCAACCCATGGGTTGAATGGCGATACTGGGACCTCTCTATGGGTGATCCTAATCCGCATGGTGGCACTTTGTGTCTCAGGGTGTTTGTCGCTTGGTGTGATGTCCTGCTAGGGTAGAATGTCAGTCAGTCAGCACCCTCACACTTTAACGAATATCTCGAAAATTTCTGTACGGATCAACACGAATTTGTGTACGTGACCTTTCCAGACGATAGTGTTATATTGCGCTACCAGAGGGGGCTGTATGATCTCGAGGCATGTTGTCGACCTCGAGTGCTAGAGGTTCTTGGTTCAAACCACAATAAGGGTTGAAATTTGTCCACGCGGAATAGGACTTCTAATACTTCCCCCGGTCTCTGGGTAGTGAGATCGGACGCCCCGTGTGTATTGTTGCGCACGTAAAAAATCAATTGGCAGTTGGGAATCGAAAAGAGTAGCCTAACAGCGCTGCCTAGGCAAAATTTGGAGTTGAAAATCTACCCAAAGTATTTGAGAATTCTCGCCGGTGCTACAGATTCTGTGCACTGTGCTGACCTTCTTCGGACTCAGACTTGAGTTAGAAGAAGAACGGAGCACTTTTGGGTTACTACCCTTGTGCCATGATGTTGATCCGTTGTTCTAACCTCAAACTGCGCTGTGAGGAGGCATGGGACTCACAGCCCATGACGATGACGAGTACGACCAGCAAGACCCACCCGCCTTAAGAAAAGTCTCCCACAATTATAGTATGGGATTTTATGACCAGCGGCGTCCCTGGCGTAGACGTTGCGAGTCTGACTCGTAATTCCAGCGTACCGCGATCGAAACCCACTGCTGGCTGCGTTGATTTTTATGATGGTATGGGGCGTCGCAGGTCGACTCACCTAAAATGGGTGCCAGTATGGCTGTCCTGGGGAAGTAAAGACGGCCGGCGTAATGCTGACCACCTTACCCACCCAGTGCCGATTGGTCTGTAAAAGTATGGGACCCTCTTCTTCCCAAATGCCCGATGCGCCTAAGACGTGAGAAGGGATCTTTACTTCTTTTTTCATGACCACTGTGATCAACATTTACGTTTAGTCTGTTTCTTCTCAGAGGTTCAGCTCTCATCTTTTCTTCCTTTATTTCTTCCTTCATTCTCACTCCTTTCCTGATTTGTCCCCTCCACACAACACGGTCCATGACATTTTGTTTCCCCGAGTCCGCCTCAATGGCTGTATCATTCATGTCCCGCTTGCACACATCTTTATATCGTAGTGTTAGCCACGAAATAGTTCCGATAATTCACGTTAACCTCGGGGTATCTGTGTGTCAACAAGGGAGATAGTTGCCCTTTACTTGTTTAGCTTTGGCACATCTCGAGCTAATTTCTCTGGCCAGTTTTAAATCGGATGTAAAAATATTTATTTTTGACAACTTTATTGTCAAAGGGTTAAAAACTGGGCACACAGGCCGTCTAACATTCTGCACTTTCACTTCAGTCATTGCATACGGTTATTCATTTGTACATAAATGCATAGTTAATATTATTAAAAAAAAAATATTCACAACATCAAAGTCTTTTTACTAAAGTTGGAAAGTGATCAAAGAAGATATGGCACTTTTCCGAAAGATGGCTGTAAACTATGTAGGTTAAAACGATGCCCTAACAGGGCCTCAATGGTTCATACAATATAAATATAAAAAACTAGGAATAATATTAAAAACTAGGAACACCGTCAGGTGAATCTGTCAGAGCATTCCACCCGCGCTGTTAACGGTATGGGACGTTTGCCGCAAGAACATTCATTTGTTTCGCATTAGTCTGTGTCGCAAGACATTGCAATCACTGCAGTTAATTGTTCTTCACTGTATACAAGTCGGCAGGTCTGACATCTACAGCTGCCAGTTCTTGAATAGGTAAAACAGTATTGCTGATCTGCCTCGAAGTTGATGGTCTGCCTGCCATACTAATAATTTTTGAACGACACTGACTTCTACGGAAATAAAACCTACTTTCCCCGGTGTGTGTTCCGGGGCCCTATTGTGGGGAAAACCAGAATAGACCCACTGCCTTCCGAAAAGCATGTCGTAAGAGTCGACTAACTGGGGAGCTTCCTTTGAAGTCGGAGTATATCTGCCTGAGAGGCAAGGAACCAGCAGTCTACATTCAATTGAATCAGATCTGTAAAACTGATGCACACGCAACACTCAGGTTCTGGAGCAGGACTGTAGTCCAGAAGTAGACGAACAACCAGAACTTTACGCAAGAGTGTACAGCTGGTGAACGCGAAGAAGAAGAAGAAGAAACCTACTTTTACATATAATTGACGTCCTGTTAGGGTATGTTTTTAACCTATATAATTTACTCCCGTTATTCGGAAAAGTGCCGAAAAGAAAGATGAGCATTTGAACTGAAAGAAACTCAGTCTCTCACCACCTCTCCCACAATCATCATTATTATCCGATGTTATAATTCACAGCAAAGAATGGATATC